TCTGGCTAACTCTGCCTTCTGTACCTGGTACAGCGAGGCTTAGATCGCCCTCTAGTGGCCCCAGAGTATGTCAACACCTGGAGTCTAGTCTGACCAACTCAACTGGGAACCTGGTATTGGAACTAACCATCTTCAGGGGCCCCAGGTTCCACACCACCAAGTTCAGGCTGGGGCCCAATCCCTCTGCATGCTTCCCCATCTCAGACACTCCCTTCATCCGTCCATCTCCACGTGCTCCCATTTCTTAGTCATCATCCCTACTCATCCCTCTTTGCCTTAGTCTTAACCTAGTCTCTCTCCCCTACTAGGATCCTTGAGAACAGGAAAGCTCACAGGGGTCCACGGACTTCCCTGTCTTTCTCCTGGGTTTTCAGGGCTAGCAATTGTTTCCTACCATCTGAAGCCAAGTTCTAAGCCGTCTTGTGGTGACACTGAGCTGGCCGGTGCCTGATCCCTTACTGTGACCTCCTGTCCAGACTCAGGAGGCAGGGAGACAAGATGCTGAATCTAAGGAAGGCCACTTCCTGAAATGATCTTTAAGTTCAAAGGACGCTGAGACCAGGAGCTGAGGGAAGACAGAGGCTAGAGTCCAACCAGGCTCATCTGCAGGACCTCCCTTTATCCCCACCGTCCGCTCTGGGACATCATTTGGGGACTGCTGATCGGGCAGAAGCAGGGTGAGGACAAGAGCCCAACTCCGAGAGATACAGCTCTGGGTCTGTTTCTTGGTCCCAGTGGAGAAATGGATTCCAGAGAAGACAGGAGGGCAAAGCAAAGGCAGAGCATAAGGCTGAGACCCCGGCAAGTCCCCAGCAAAGCTGCAGCCCAACTGCCCACCTCTATAGCACCCTCATACTTCACACCTCCCTCCTCTCACGCACAGCGCAGAACAGGGCACCTTACAGCATCCAGAATACTTTTATTGCCAAAATCGAGGTACAGCTGGGTCAGCGCCCCAGGCGAGGGGCACACCACCCAGGTGAGGGATAGATGATGGGAATGTGCTTAACAAGGGAAGTCCAGTGCCAGAATCATCATGGGAAGGCAGTGTATGTAGTCCAGCCTGAAAGTGGTTTGAGGACCCCAACCTAAAAGCTGACCCAAGTCTCAGCCTATAGTCAGGCTCACTGTCCCTAAGACAGGCCCAGATTCACCATCCCTGCTGTCACAGAGATCGTGCAGCATCCATGGGGCAAACATAAAAACCCCTCGCTGGGACCCTCTGCTCCTAGCTCTCTCGGGGACCCTTTCAAGTCTCTGGACAAAATTCCTGCAAACTAAAACCCATTCAGCTGCCCGGTGGGAGCACGTGTTGGGCAGGAACTCTACCACCTCTCAACCCTTGTGCCAGCCCAAGTGGGTGGCAGAAAGACCCTGCAGCAGGGTGCAATATGGTGGTGGAGTTCTCAAGAAGGGGGCCCAAGGAAGCTCGAAGTAACCACGGTTGCTCCCTTGAGCTCCCTTCTTCCTAGGTACCCAGCTAGAAGGTCATGACTTGAGGCCCTGCTCTCCTGAAACTACAGTTCCCAGAACCGAGAGAGCCCAGCTGCAGCGCTGGGTTCCACATCACAACCAAGGAGATCAGGAATCCCAGGACATGGCCGCCGGAATTGAGGGGTCCTCTGCTGCCCAATCCAGTACTAGGACTAGGATGCCGCCAGAGGTGAGAGGTAGGAGCGGAGTCTGAATATCCCAGGAGGAATTATGGAGAACACAACAAACCGCCCTGCCCGCAGGGGTGCTGGACTGCCTCCAGGAGGCCACACTCAGGACATCCACCAGCGAGGTCACAGGGAAGCTAGCAACCCCAGCCAGTAGGCCACCTGAAGCCAGTGTGTGGGAAGGTCACCTGAGGGTCACTGTGGAACCTTCCAGGGCAGGACCTCAGCTCAGTAACATCCCTCACAGTAAGGTTAGGGCCCAGTGGGCTAGAAGAGAAAGGCCAGAGAACGAGGAGGGCTGCATGGCCCGAGCTGAGGACTGGGGTGAGGACCTACTCAAGCCAGCCCACAGAGCCAGTCCGAGGTCTCGAGTCCATCAGTAGCAGCAATCTTTCCATCAAACGTCCTTTGAGTCCACACTTCTCTTCCTTCTTCACTGCCAGGCTACACAGGAAGGCTGAGAAACAGTATCCCCCGAGGCAGACACCTCACAGCCTAGGACCTAGGACCTTAAATATTGGTCACAAACTTCACCAAGCTTCTAGGCCATGAAACAGTCTGAGCCCAAGAGCAGCCTCATGGTCCAGCCACCCAGCAGCCCTGCTTGGCACAGGACTCAAGGCTCAAAAAGCACGCGTTTCAGATAAGCCAAGGTGGAGGCATTGGCTAACATCTCAATGTGTTCACTTCCTGGCAGCTCCTGCAGTGATACCCGGTGCTCCTGGTGGCTCTGCCAGGCCCGGCACTGCAGGACATTCTCCACGTTCACGGTGCCGTCACCATCACCGAAGCAGATCTTGGGGTCGCGATCGGGAAAGCTCTCGTAGTAGAAAGAGTCCGGCGTGGGGACGCCCGTCCCATAGAGGCAGTGCAGCTCCACACCGGGTGGCGTCGTGGCTTCCACCAGCCCTTCTGTGTCCTGCCGCATGAACCAGCCATCCTCAAATCCGATGTCCCGGAAGAACCGGTGATAGTCACGGAGTGTGTAGTTAGCTGTGGGGGTGTGCACGAATACCTTCTCATGTGACCAGGTGTGGTTGTATGGCAGTAGCCAGCTGGTGGAGACAGCGGACCGCTGCTGCTCCCGGATCTTCAGTGGCCCAATAACAGGGATTCGATTGTTGTCTCCTGAAAGGGAAGGGCTCAGATCAACCTGCGCCAAGGGAAGCAAACTATATGGACAGCAGGTTCACCAACCCACCAGTGGTCAATACTCCAGAATCTTGGACTGTCAGCCGCCATCACGATCCCCATCTCTGCACTACTGGCTTTAGTTCTTTTTCTTTCTTTCTTTTTTTTTTCTTTCCTACATTTTTTTTTATGTATGTGGAAAGCATACAATCATATCTTCATGTTCCTTATGTATTTCCACACCAGAGATTCAGCCAGCACTTGCCTCCCTCGCCCCTTAAACTATTTATTATGTTTGCTTATCTATAAAGGGCACCCTGCTAGGTGTTTATCACCTGTAGGCACTAGTCTTATCTAAGGTGAAGCAGCAGGTCAACAGGCCTGGTGGGGGTTGGTTGGTTGGTTGGTTGGTTTGTTTGTTTGTTTGCTTTGTTTGATCACACTGAACTGCATACTTGCCTTTCTTTTCCTAGGTCCAGACCAGCATTCAGCCAGTCTGGTTTTATCCCTCCCATCTAAAAGCCTGGGCACTGGCCCAGGAGGCCAGACTTGCTCGAAGCAAGGCAATGGGGTAGAAATCTGCAGCTGGAGTCAGCTCTTCCCATTAGCCAATGAGACTTGCAGGGCCTGAGGCAACTTAGGAAGGAGTTACTACTTGTTCAAGTACTATCATCGCCCATTATCCAATACTCTGAAAGCGACAGCCCTCTTCTGCTGACCCCAGGGTCTCAGCTTTGCCTGCTACCTCTAGAATCCTCGGGGGAAGGGGAACCCTCAGGAGTCTACGGACTTCTCTCTCTCCCACTCCTGGTTTTCTAGGGTTGACAGCAGTTTCCTAACATCTGCGGTAAAGATTTAAGGGGTTTTACAGGAAAACTTTGAGATGGTCAATGCCTGAAATCTTACCATGACTCCCCATCAAATTCTGAAGGCACACACCCACATGGCTCCTGTAGGCCCAGGAATGGCAGAGCATAGGACTGTGATGAATCCTTACTGTATCTAAAGGTCTGAGCCATGAGCTCATTGTCCACTCAATTCAGGGTCACTCCTGGGAGAAATGTTGAACCTGACCTGATTGTAACGTTCATATGAGCAAGCAGGTCAGGCAGTATCAGTGATGGCAGAAAGGGAAAAGTTAGGAACCCTGAGATGGTCCTGGCTCACAGTCCCCAAGTGAGGGGGCCCCCGGGCTACCACTCAGTCATGGTGGAAGGAGGTAGCCTCTTCCTGCACCAGGAGGCCCTGCCCCATGGCTGCAGATGGTGGGTCCTACAGTCATAAAAACAACTGGAGAAGGACCAAGGGAGGGTTGACTTTCCCAACTGCCAGGCAAGCAGACCCAGCCAGACCCACACCTGCCTCCTCCCTGTACTGCAGGCCCACAGAGGTAGATGAAACTCATAAACAGGAAATGGTAAGTCAGCCTGCCTCCTGTGTGGAAAGTGGGGATGGGGTAAGAAAGACTTGAGGGGCTGGAGAGATGGCTCAGAGGTTAAGAGCACTGGCTGCTCTTCTAAAGGTTATGAGTTCAATTCCTAGCAACCACATTGTGTTTCACAACCATCTGTAATGAGATCTGGTGCCCTCTTCTGGCCTGCAGGCATTCATGCAAGCAGAATACTGTATACATAAAAACAAAAATCTTTTTTTTTTTTTTTTTTGGTTTTTTGAGACAGGGTTTCTCTGTGTAGCTTTGCGCCTTTCCTGGAGCTCACTTGGTAGCCCGGGCTGGCCTCACAGAACTCACAGAGATCCGCCTGGCTCTGCCTCCCGAGTGCTGGGATTAAAGGCGTGCACCACCACCGCCCGGCAATAAACAAAAATCTTAAAAAAAAGACTTGAGAAGGGACCTCAAAGAACTGTGAGTCAAACCCTTCTGCCAGGCACTCAGCACTGTGTGTATGTGCACATAAGCAAATACTGTGTGACCAATTGTTACACCGCTCTACATACAGTATTACAACAGATTACAGAGATTACAAGGACTATCAACTGGAGAGGAGAGACTATTAGATTTTCTTCCATTGCTTTCTTTGGGAGAGGGGTGTTTCAAGACAGGGTTTTTCTGTGTGTGTGGCCCTGGCTGTCCTGGATCTTGCTCTATAGACCAAGCTGGCCTAGAACTCACGGGGATATGCCTGCCTCTGCCTCCCAAGTGCTGGGAACAGAGGCGTGCGCCACCACTGCCCCACAATTGC